GGAGAAACTGGGTACGGTTGTGCCAGGGTACGGTAGTGACAGTCGTCATAATAGCTAAACTATACTGATTTTGAGATAGAATTCAAAGGCAGGAAAATGAAGTATGATTGTTCAAACAAGTTTCATTATTGCTTTCACTCATTAACATGTACTGTAGCGCGCATTGCTTTTTGAAGATTCAAAAATAATTTTTTTTGATTTTTTTTAATAATAACTGTTACTTGTATACATACAGATAACTGTGATTGTTATTTTGCTGTAAGTTAATTAAACATAAGTAGTTAATTACCAGCAATTAGTTTTGGCGCAGATAATTTAGCATATTGTTAGTGGTAACTGTGATTTGCTTTCAAAAGTGCGCGTTGGGTATGGTTGGGTGACAAATTTTGTGGGTACGGTCGTGACATGTATTTGTTGTTTTGCTTAAAGATTAAGTAGATAAAAAAATACCTTCACTAACAATAAGACAAAATACAAAAGAGAAAAAAGGAAATTTCAATGAAAAGAAAAATATTTTACAAAGTTATTATTAACATCGAAAAATTATGTTTGTTTATTAATTATTAATAATATGTTTATAAGCTTTGTTAAATGATTATGTTGTGGTTTGCTAAAAGACTTAATGGTGGAAGACCATAATAAAATAAACTAGGGTTATGTTGTGTTGTGTTGCAAATTACTGACAATAAAGACTATTTTGGTTTTTATACCTATTGTTTTTCAACCTTTTTCATGCCTGTCATAACCGTCCTTGGCGGTGCGGTCCGTTGTGACACTAGCCCAATGGTTTCCAACCTTTTTTGCACCGCGCCCCCTACTCTAAACGTTGTTGCGTCTCCCCCCCCCCCTAATTTTTTCAACAATTTTATTTCATAAATACGCAACTGATTTCAGACTACAAATTGATATGCAATATTATGTGAAAAAATGCGTAAGAAATAATTATTTGTTTCTTTATTTCTTATATTATTTCTTTCAAAAATTGTATTTTTGAACCTCCCTCTAAAGGTCGCGTCACTCAGGTTGGGAATCGCGACACTAGCCCTTTTCTTGTATGATTTGCTTCCATGACTTAGCCATCGTATTGCAGATTTTCATGTAGAAAAATGTTCAATTTACTTTTCAGATAACTAGTCAACTAGTTGGTATTGGTATTTTTCCTTGAGGCAAGTTACATGAACTTCCCGATTTGTGTAAATAATCGACTTAATTCATGATAGATAAATTAATTTTTGAGTAGTTAAAAGTATTCGAAGTGGATTTATTACACATTATTGAAAATCGAACACGTCATCCCGGTCGGAGTATTTTTTAAAAGCAAATTTTCAAAAATCAATAATTTTAATAATTGAGCCAGTTTTTTGTAGGACTTTAATTGTTCAGTATGTTTATTAAGACCAAGCATTTATTGTTATACCAGGTAAATCATCGAATTTTAATTTTAACAAATTTCAAAAGAACTACTCATTTTCTCAAATTTTGATGAATTTTTAAAATTAAACTTGTCGTAAGGCCGTAATATTTTAGTGAGTTCTATAAGACCATGATATATATCGCTCAAAAAATTTTTTTTCAACAGTTAATTACAAGAAAACGGCTCGGTTGATTTTCAACTAAAACTAATCAGTATCATTTCCAACTAATATCTTTCGAACAGTTTTTGATTTTTCAAAATCGGTTTGGTAGTATGAGCTTAAATGTGGACGAAAGAATTAACACTTTTTTCCAAATTACATAGAAACGGTTCGGCCGACAAAACTGAGAAACGATAATCCTCATCGAGATACATCAAATGGTTTTTAAATTTCTGAAATCGGTTCAGGCGTTTTTGAGCAAACGTCGATGAAACTTCTAATTTTGACAAATGCCAAAAAGACCATACTAATTTTTGCAAACTTTGACGATTTTTTAAAGCTAAACGAGTTGTCGTAGGGCCGTAATATTTTAGTATGATCTAGAAGACTATGGTATCCACCGTCAAAAAAATAATAATGAAAATCGACGAAAAAAATTTTTTTAACACCTTATTACAAGAAAACGGCCCGGCCGATCTCTACCAAAAACTAATCAGGTCTATTTCCAACCAATATCTTTCGAACGATTTTTAAATTTTCAAAATCGATTCAGAATTGCAGGCTAAAACATGGACAAAAAACTTTTCACTTTTCTGCTATATAAGAAGAAACGGCTTGGCTAATAGTCGCAGCAATAGTCGTCATCGAGATATATCGAATGGCTTTTAAATTTTTGAAATCGGTTCAGCCGTTTTTGAGAAAACGTCGATTTGCGGTAAAAAATCTGTTTACATACATACACACACACATACTTTTTCTAAATTTTATCTGATTCGATTCAGAACGGCTTGAAACGTCGAGAAAACATAAAATTAGCGAATCGGATTTCTTTAATGAAAACATAAACTTCTCCTTCGGGAAGTTAATAATAAATACTTGCAATATACTGTTCAAAAAAGGAAAAGAAGAAAAAAACAGCTTTGCAAAAATTTCAGACTCGGAATGTATTATGATACAATTGAGTATTTCGCATAGGTCGCATCCGAGGATACGTTAAATGAAAACGATAAAACAGTGATAAAGGTTTCGAGTAAAAGAATCATGTTTCACGGTTCGCAGTTCGAATGGACACTTGACCGCACCCTAACGAGCCCCCGTCCGGGAGTTATTCTGTATATTATTTGTACGGTACCGACTTCCGTGTGCTATAGAGCGTGACGGAATGACGTCATCAAAGAGGATAACGACGGGAAGGTCGGAGTGACGTTTCATATGTCACACAGGTTTAATGCTGTCGCAATCCTGAAAGAATTGCCCGACAAATGCCGGAGATTTTTGAATGATGCCACTGAATGTAATACCGTTCAGTTCAAGGGATATGAAGTCGAAGGCAATTATGTTATGTCAGGAAATGATATACCATCCATGTTACATAACACCAATGTTCAAAATTCGATTACAAATTGAGATTGATATAAGCATTTGACCGGTGCTAACTTATTATGCAATTGATACATTCTGAGAAAAAATGAAGCTACGTTAAAGAGAAATCGAGAGTCATACGCAATAACTACCAAGTTCGTGCAAAATATATTATATTTCACAAATACTTTGCTATGCTCCTTTCAATAAAAAACAAAAAAAACAAGTCAGTGTATATATGATAGTGCAAAAGTTCTAAGTTCTAATAGTGCAAAATGATGTGCTTTGCGCAAGTTACTGATGTAAGACCATATTTATATCCACTGATGATGACATAAAATCCGATGTCGAAACGTTTGGAAAAAATTAAAGATTAACTTCTAAATCTTTGCCTTTTATTTGATGTATTGCCCTTGAAGAACTAACTCATATTTCTCAACATCAAAACCAACTTATTTAACATAATATATATATATTATATATATATATATATATATATATATATATATATATATATTCAAAGTTTGTATGGGAATAGCATGAAAAAATTTTCAAAAATTAAAAAAAATTTTTAGATGTAATTTAGCGAACAAATGAATGAATAAAACTCATTCCTTTGTCGCTAAGTTAACCCTAATACATTTTTTTTAAATTTTTAAAAAAATTTCCATGCTCTTTCCATACAAACTTTGATTGAATTGCGCTCTATCTAAACGTTAATATTAAGAGCTAAAACTTTCAGAGAGTTGTTTTTTTATCAATTTGGAACCATTTGAGCCCCTGGGAGCAAGGAAATTCGAAAATGACCATTTTTAGAACCGTAGGATCTTTTGTATTAATTATAAATAATATAAAACCTATTCGTATTAATTATAAATAATATAAAAAAACCGTTTTTATTTGAAAAAACCTGTTTAACTCACTTTTTTGATATAATGAGTTTAAGATAACATTTGTTGAATATGTATTTGATCTAGCAATAAAGTTAAATTTACCTTTATTATGAGAAAACATTGTGCTGGAACGAATGAATCGCATTTCGATGTATTTAAATGAAAAAAATTGCTTCGAGATACGAGCAATTCGACATACGAGCGTCGTTACGGAATCAATTAAGCACGTAAGGCTAGGTACCACTGTATATGGGCGGAACACAAAAGTCCAGTTTGATTTTCAGTAATTATACTGTCGGAACCACACGAACTATATCGCAACACATAACACTTATCGAACTATGTTCAGTAAAATTCCCAGTTAATTCCTAGATAATGAAATGTTTTTTACTATTTTCTTAGAATTTGTTATCTGTTCCCCACAGCCAGGGGCAAATAGAACCAAACTTGATCTGGTAATACACCAAAAAATTGATAAGCAGAGTTGGAATAACTATTCATTTTATTTTACACTGTATTTACTATTTTTTTATTGAGTACATCTTTGCGAGTGTAAAGTTTTAGGTGATGCCAATCACAAGTAAGCTTTTAAAAAAATGTGGAGTTGAACTTAAAAATAGCAATACAACTTATAAAGCAATTAAACATATACTTAGAAATTATATTCAAGCATCATAATCTAAATAACAAGAGCTCATAATCAGTGATCTTCATACATTTTTTCAAAAGTTGTTAAACCGATGTATATATTTTATTCGTTACGAACTTATTGAAGATGCATGCTTATGAATGGAATTCTTTGTGATCATACTTCAGCGTATGCATTTGAATATTTTTAATAGGAAGTAAAGCTTTCATATATCACATAAGTTGTGTAATCGCAATAGAAGCGCACGGCAAATGTGAGCGATTTCTGAATGATGCAGACTGTTATAACATTCAAGTATCAGAGCAATATAAATATAAATTGTGTATAAGATATAAAGTTTGTGAAATGAGATGTTGCATGTCAAACAAGTACATGTTTTCTTCTATATGCGACGACGATTAACTTTTATAGCAAAAATTAAATAACAGCATGCACTATGTCCAAATCTATGTAGGAATTTGATAATTCTACGCGCTATATCTAGTTCTCTTACTTTTGGACAACAATCTATATCGTACATACCTTTTTTAGAGACCTTTTTAGTGCAGTGGCAGGAGCACATTGAAATCAATGTTCAGCACCTAAAAAAATCAGTATAAAAAATTAATGTCTAAGAAAAACAGTCAGTTATCTGAATAGTAGTAAATACAACACAACAGCTCATGAGCACAGAATGTTTCGATTGCTGTTCAAATATGATAAAAATATTAATCTAGCAGTATATGGCAACGTGCCTTAAGGTAATTTGCTGGAACTGCCCATAGCGTGATGAAATATTCGAAAAATGTTAAATATTTCCTAATAGACTATTATAAATACGGTAGCTTTCATTATTCTTATTTTAAGTAGTAAAATTTATTTGCTACTGTACAAGATGGCATTTAAGTAAAAATAAATACATCATATAACAATTATGAATAATGTTTATTAGTAATATGGCAACACTCGTGGTGCACACATTTATTAGTGTCAACCATTATACACATTTATATAATGATAAATTAAAAATTAAATATTTATAATAGTATTAAAAATATGTATAATATTTAAAAACAATAATGTAATAAAGTCATACTTCAAATATGACATGATCGGATTGTCATTGTAAGTAGCATTTAGAAATTAACCGTCGTTAGATGAATGAATTAATTGTTGATTAATAACTTCTATAATATCCGTTCACAAAGTAAGTAAATATTGTTCTCACAATTTCACTCATCATGTAATAATTGTGTTTGAAGAACTTTATGTAAGTAAAATTAACATACATTCATTGACTGTTTGTACATTTTTTACTTTTTCGCTGGCGATATAATCTCATTCTTTGAATAAGTAGCTGTAATAACAGTCTCGCCTAAAAATATTTTTCATTTTAATAACTTCAAAAATTTATAGAAACTACGAATAAAAAAAATAATTTCTAATCAACAAACTTATGTTTATTGTCATGTACACGGCCCAAATGGTTAATTTGTTTTACTACTTTCAAGGAACAGGGCAAAATATTTTTCTGATTCGGGCATTTTTCATTAAATAAAGATTTGTACTACGATGTAACTTTAAAATGTTTATTTATCTATTCCGATTTGCTTGTTGATATCGGTACGCATACAACGTTGATGCCGGTACGCATACGACAACAGATCTCTTCACATACACAACGACTAATCACAGTGAACCCGTATAGAAATGATATCATCGAGAGCGAATGATCAATCATTGGCACCCGACTCGGCCTTAACGAACTTCGGTTGCATTTGTTAATCGTCTCCGCATCAATGTTTTTTTCATTATTTAAATCGCTTGTTGCGCACGTCGACGAAAATTTTGATCCACACATACGCACACACACATATGCATTTTTTCTAAGGAATGCCAAAATGTTCAGAAAACTTTGAAATGTAAATTTATGCAATAATTTTCAATTTCTAATTTTGGACGATTACAATAACTTGCCCTACGGGGAGGAAAAATATGTAAATGTAATCATTAATTTTAATATAAAGTACATACTATTTGTTTTCAACGTTCTTAAATTAGTATTATCTAATTAAAATATTTAAAACATTATTTTGAATCATGTATGTTAATATTAAAAAAATATGTTTATGCAAAATTATGCTACGTATTTAAATCTATTATATATTTAAAATATGGCTTGCAAGAAATGTTTAATTAAATAAAATGCCAAAAACAGGGATACGAAATGAAGAAATAAATTCCACCTAAAACGTGTTTTCCAATTACGAACTCAATGAGGTTAAAAAATATATGACACTGGGAAATACGATTCGGAACTCATTATAGTTAATAGGACAAACGCGGAGAACAATTAAGTGGTGAGCGCGAACAAAAATCATTGCGGCTCGGTAATGATAAAACGCGTCTGTAAATCGCAGCGCAGTACCCGCGGGTACTATTTGATACCGCTCGAACTATTACAGGGGACCAGGTACCGCGGATAGGGAAATTCGCAGAAGATAGGTAGGTGTACTGGTACCTCTGGTAAGCGCCGTGCAGTCGTCTCTCATGAATATTATAGCAGCCGCGGGAGCTAAATGGAATACATGCTATCTGATTCCACTGGCGCGTTCTCTCATTAGAATTTCGCGCGGCGGCTCTCGCATCGCACGGTGCGACGCGCCAATGGTTTACAACCGGCAACGCGCGCGGCCGCTTCGGGCACTCTACTTCAACATAGCCGCAGAACGCGCTGATATGATATTTTAGACAATAACTTTTTCTCTAGAGTAAATTGTGGAAGAAGATAGAACAAAAATATTTTAACGCCATTACAGTCGAAAACCTTCTGATAATTTTGTCATATCAATAAATGTAGTGTGTTGCTGTCTAGTGTGCAATTCTGAATAGGTTTTAATCGTCAACCTATTTGGATAGATCACATAAAATTTGTATATTTGAGGCGCAGAGCCTATTGCTTTTTGATGAATCCTGTTCCACCCGTCGTCCCAAAGATACCTCGCGCAAAAGCTTATCCATTTTAGAACCATGTTAAGGATTCTTTTGAATTATTTTTATTATTATTAGTATCAAGAATTCATTTTTAAATAAAGTATATATTATATTTTTAAAATTTATTTTCAATTAATCGCGATACTAGGCAGATGTTAAGTTTAGCGTGTATTAGTTACTCAACCAATTTAATAAACTTTTTATATTTCTAGGTATATTGCCCGCCCTCTTTTCATCTTTTAGTAATTACAGTGCACACCAGTTTTTAAAAGTGTAGTAATTAATTTTCTATGAAGTGATAACGGCAAAGGCATCATTATGGTGTGTTTCGACGCCTTAACAAACCATAAATAACTATTTGACACATTCAAGTCAAATTATTAGATTTTTCGGTTTGCAAAGATTACAATGCGTGACAATAAAGAAATTTCCTGAGATGTTATGATAATTTTTAAGTAATTCGAAGACGCTGATTTCGCAAAAAGAACAGAATAGAACTTCACTAACAGCTCTAATTTTTGAGGTATACCAATGTGATAGTTTTTCCTCAAATTACAATAAGAAATTACACATATTTTATTTTATGCCTTCAAAAGTATTTTTATATAATTTTAGAGCGTAGACAAGGTCTCACTGATTTTGTCGTAAGCTCCAACATTGGTCGGCCATCAAGTATACGATCCACTTCTCTTGATATCGCTCCTCGCCAAATGTCTTGATGGATTTTCTTGCCCGACTCTCGATTTTTCATGAGTAGCCTAATTTAGGAGTTATCAAATGTATTAGTTTAAAACTCATACTCCCTTTCTTTTAACTTTAGTATCTCAATCCAACACATTATGGGCGAATGGTGTTGATGTTCTGAGTTGCTCATCATTAACATGGATCAATGGCTTTTAGACCCCAAGACCATTGGGGTCATTGGGTATGATCTGTTGCTTCTAATTCCTGAATTTATTTTGATATTTACCACACAGAAAAAGAAACGTCGTGGTGATTCTAGTTTTTTTTTTCAAATTATAGCATGTTTTTCTTTTAAAACATTAAATTAAACGCACTAATCAATTTTGGCACGAAGAACGCATGATTTACGTTGATTGCCCAATTCGATTTTAAAGTGGTTGAAATACACAGCCGAACTAAATAGTTCGATACTGGTTTTTGGTGTTTGTCGAAAACTTGTTCACCACAGATGTAAAAAAAACTATCTGGATTACGTACACAACATATAAGGTTGTCAAATATCTCCCTTCCGCCTTTTTGTATTATAAACCAAGAGCAAAAAAGCGGAAGGGAGATATTTGACAACCTAATATTATTATTAGAGTTGGGGCGTTATCAAAAACAGCAGATAAAACTCTTAGTTATTCTTTGAACTGCGATAATCATAGCCGAAATGACTAATGGGGTTAGCTCCTCAAAACACAAAAACAAGTGAGAGTTTTTACGCAAAAACGGAAGGCATATTTGAAATCAGCGTACAATTTTAAGTAGATTAAAAAAAAGTAGTTCGAGGACAAAACAAAAGTACTATTTTTAACGCGCAGTGTTACTTATTAAATATTGGTTTTCACATAAATATAGAAACTTTGAATATAGAATATTCATTAATTCTTTAGGATTACAATTAGAATGATTCTTATTTTTCAGATTTCGGGAGAACTATAAAATATATATATATATATAAATATATTGTTAAAATATATAATTTATCAATTTCCCGAAGTTTAAGTTTATGATTTCAAGAAAAAATCCGATATACTAATATCATGTTTTCTTAAGTCATTGTGATAGGTTTGAAAAAAAGTATGTATGTATGACTGTGTGAGAGTATGTGAGTTGCTCGAAAGAAATCGGTTGGGAATTGTGCTGAACAGTTTACTGTAAAAATCGACGTAAACTTTTCTTTGCAATTAATTGTTGAATTTTTTGACAATAGAGATCATGATCCTAAAGAACATACTAAAATATACTAAGCCCACAAGAAGTCATTTTATGTTACAAATAACCAAACTTAAAAAAAAATCTTTCGTCGATGTTTTCCCAAAAAAGCTTAACCTATTTCAAAAACGTAAAAGCCATTCGATGAAACTCGAAAAGCACTCGCGTTGGTCGAGACGATTAGTCGGGCTATTTCTTTAAAATAAGCAGAACAGTGAAAGGAAAATTGTCCGCGTTTTAGTAAAATTTGAACCGATCACACAAACTATTCGAAAAATATCATTTCGAAATCGTGTTGAGTTTTTGGCAGAGATCGGTCGGGTCGTTTTTTCGTAATTGATTGTTAAAATATTTATTTTTTGGGCGATTCTTAGTTCCAAGGCCTAATGACCATACCAAAATATTAGAGGCCTACGAAAAGGGTTATAACTAAAGTTTGGATGCGCTTAAGAAAATAATCCGCGTATGTATTAGGCGCGTGTTTAAACCAAAATTTGTACAAAATTGCATAATCTGCAATACAGACCCTCGGTGTACTCTTGAATTACTCACAAATTAATATATTCTTATCGATAAAGTCGATTATTGACGCATGCCGGGTAGTTCATGCAACTTGCGTTAAGGTAAAATGCGATTCACATCTAGTTATATTATCTATTTGCATTTT